TAGAACATAGGCTAAAATGTGGTAAAATACATACCTGGAAGTCCAAGACCACAAACCTGGCGAGGCTTTTCTTTTGGTAAACAGTCCTGAAACAAATCATTGGATTGCTCACAAGTCACAAAATATAAATATATATATATATATATGTATGTGTGTGTGTGTGTATGTAAACCAAGTAATCAAATGAAACAGAAATTTTATCCACCTTCGTAGAATAGAACAGTGTGACAAACATGTAACCCATTAACATTAGGCATTCATAAGCCTCAAGTGCTTCTCATTTACAGCTTATACCCATGTACCTCTAGGGCATAGACCAGTGACGGATCTAAATTTTTTTATGATTGGGAGCACACTTAAGGGTGTAAAAGAATTCCAAAACCGAACAACTCATAGTAACCAAGATGATTTCAGGTTATTCGGTTTTCGGCTTAAACAGTTCGGTTAATCGAATAAAAATAACTTATTTTGTTTGGTTTCAGTTATACTACTATTTATATATTTTACTACTTCAGTTAAATTTAGAGTAAGTAAACACAATACACACTAGTACAAGATTCAATTGATTCATAATGGACCGATAACTCGATGAACAAACCACTAAACCAATTTGTAAGAAAACAAAGTTCATATGTGACATTAAACCAATTTGTAAAGAAACATAGTAAAAAATAAATCAAAATCCTTAATAGTTAATAAACATATAGGCTAGAGGGCGAAAGGCCAAGAAACTAGATTCAATTAGAAAGAAATCAGATAACAAAAGACCTAAAAATTAAAAATGAAAGACAAACCAATAGCATACCTTGAATACAAATAACAAACCCAAACTAAATAACAAACTTAATAACCCTAAATCATATAACAATTAAGGAATTGAAAACTAAAATGAAAGATCGAAAGTAAAAAAAATATTATAACAATTTATCAAATCAATACCAAAATTGCTGGATATTTACCAAAAAAATACAAAATAAATTAAAAACAAAATCAAAATAAGAGGATCAATTAAACCAACATTGCTAATTTATCCTTTATCAACAAAATCAATTAATCATTAAATCAACAAAAATAATACATATTCAATACTTCCAGAGGCTTAGTGTTTTTTTACCAATGGAGAATTGTGAGTGAAGACGAAAGTGTGAGAGTGTAAGTGCAGTCTTGGAGATGAGTCAGTGGAGAATGATACAGAGAGTTGAGAGAGTTGAGAGAGTGAGTGGCGTCTTTAGGGGGATTAGTTTTTATTAGTTGGGGGCCTAAAAAATAAATATTCAAATATTTCGAGGTACCAAAAAAAGTTAACCTGCAGATAGAGATTTTGTTGGGGGCAAGGTGCCCCCTACACCAATGCTTTAAATCGCCCCTGGCATAGACTCTAAATGTTTGTGATGACCATCTGAAACTCCAAATAAGCTTTATTCTTGCTTAAGTTGTTAGTAGAAGGCGTACTCCAGATTTTTACTATTGAATTTATTAGCATTTAAAGGATCCACTTACAAATCTCTGAAAACAATAAGGCACGTGGTGCATGGCAACATCTATGATCTATGCATGAATAGGCTTTGCATCTCAGACCCAAATGAAAAGAAGAAGAAAAATCAGATGGTTGTCTTTTTATGCATCATTATCCAATTTCATTCTTATTGTAAGAGTGATTTAGAGTCAAAAAGACACCTTCTAGCAATCATTCAAAGCCAAGAAGATGATATTCCCAATTCTTGAAGTCAAATGAGTTCCTTTCAGTTGCCATGACAATATGAATTTAGGTGGGACTTGGGAGTTGATCAAAGTATCCATCTAATGAAAGTGAACTTACATGCATTCCTATTTATGACCAACTCTCAAGTTTCTTGCATGCCATCTTGAAATTTAAGCATGTTTCTAAAATAAAGGCCCCAACCTCCTCCTCGATAGCCATCCCTCATAAATAGTTGGCCAAAAGTTGCATAATGTCTTGGAAGAAAAATGATTTACAATGATATACAATAAAGGTTGGCAAGAAATGTGGGTGATGATCCGCTTTCAATAATAAAAAGACTATTACCGTAACAGCATGCAGAAGAGTAGACCTTCCATCGATGCTATCTCCAAGACCAAAACCGCCAATATAATAACCTGGAATGCCACCTCATATCATAACCTCGAGAGAGGATTATATATTATAAATGTTAAACCATAGAACACATCAAATTGATGATGAAAACTGAGGTAGGGGATATGGAAAATAACATAAGCTAAAAGAAGATTGGTGCTATAGGATATCTGCAAAAGACAACATTAGAGAGAATGGAATATACAATAGGTTGTCATTTACAATATGCCGGCTTCTTCTAATTATTGTGTTAATCTCCATCATGTAAATTTGTCATGATTAGGCCATTACTCCTCTAAGTCCTGGAGATAATGGATTCTAAAAATTAGAATTATAAGATTGTTTTTTTAATTATAACGATGCAAAATTCAATTCAATACCTTAAGGATATAGAGTACTTTGGTTTTTAAAATATCTATTATTTAGTAAGGGCCCTTAATCGTTTTGCAAGAGTGATCTGGTCTTCGGTACATAGCTTGATACATCTGTTTTCAAATATGAAGAAAAGGATAGAAGAAATCAGAGGTAGTATGAATAAACAGTTGGGTAAGGGAGGGATCCTCCTTTAAAAGGAAGGTGGAAAGGCAATATTAGGGTAGAAAAGGAAATAACCAAATAGCTACCATTTGAAGTTTTAACTAGGCAATATACAACAAAACCAAACCAAACAAACCCAGTAAGTCCCTTCCAGAGGAGCCATTGGACATAACATTCTTCTATTTTTTACATATACGTGAGGGTAATAACGCTTTGCTTCCACCTTTCATTTGTATTCTCTTCCACTTGGGCATCCATGTTAAAGTATTGTATGTTCACCAAGTTTGCTACTACAGATGTCTCATTATTTTTTCTTACTTATTTTTAGTGCTTCTGTCACCATATGTTAGTCTTTATTCCTTCTACCTGTTTGCTCTCACTCTTGCACAAGCCAGGGGTCTTCATGGAGATAGCCACTCTACCCTTTTAAGCAGGAGAACGTGGAAGGATGCTATTCAACTCTGATCTCCTAAGCCCTAGGGATATCACCCCCTAAAATTTCTACTGGTTTTCTTATTTTACCCTGACTCAACAAGTTTGGATGAAAAAACTTATTCTTTAACCCAAAGTAGGAAAACCTGGTCTGGGGCTACATCACGGTGTTCCTGCCACTGAGCCAGTGAGTAGTGATCCCTCAGTTTAGTTGAAATGTGAAATCATGCAGCTCATAGAGGTTCTTAATCCAAAACAGCATTCATAGAACTAAACTGGCTGTAAAGTTGAGACAAGAAACTTAGATTCTGGAAGCAATAAATAACACAACATACCAGATACATTTCTCTTTGCTACCTCTTGAGCGCAATGTTGACGTTCTTCAATGCTGCATCCTCCAACAATGGATCCAAAAAGAGCTCCATCTGTCTACATTTCAGAAATTATTACAATGAAAATTGCAAACAAATCAAAAGGTAATTAAGTTGAAGAAGATTACGTAAACGACTGTAATTTAGTTGGGATAATTTCCTAATTTATGTGGATCCCAAAAATTGTGCGAATGGATTTGATTTGATTTGATTTGGTCAGAATCCCATAAATCATGAGATTAAATTAGAATTGGAGAGGAGGTAGAAGTCAACATTGGGGGTACCCAAATGGACAGTTTCAAGTATCTAGGTTCCATGAATCAAAAATAGGGAGAGGTCGACGAGGACGTAGAACATCGCCTAAAAGCAGTGTGGCTAAAGTGGAGAGCTACCACAGGGATGTTGTGTGACAAGAAGGTCCCACTATAACTGAAGGGCAAATTCTATAGGGTAGCCATCCGAACAGCTATGTTGTATGGGTCAGAATATAGGGCGACAAGGAAGGCCATTAAGAAAAAGTTGGAAGTTGCAGTAAATGAGGATGCTTAGGTGGAGCCGTGGTCAGGACCATGTTAGACAACATCATGCATCTCAGTACACACCCAAATTGGCTGTCAATTGATATGATAGAACATATGTCAAACCAATAGAGGAAAAATAATTGTGAAGTAGTGTTGAGGTTGGCAAAATGACTCAAAATTCTGTGTTGAATTGTTTGCTTTAGTTTTCATTGGTTTTCTGTTTCTCATTGTAGTTTGTCGCGATGATAATATCAAAAAAATGAATATAACAGGAAAACCTAAATACCAATAATGATCTCTATATAAAAAATAGGATGGATGACAATGTCCGAACATTGGAAAGACAGAATAAAGTTACCGATTTTAGTGAAATGCAATCATCAAGCCATCTAATAGTTCGATCAACAGCAGCTTTATTCCTCTTTGCTGTGACTGAAGCAGATACTTCATCAGCTAAACTAACCCATAAGTCTGGCTTCATCGAAGAAATCATTTTCATGTACTCAAGAGGTTTCACCTGTGACCATACCAGATACTATAAGCATAATTAGCAAAAGATATATGAGGCCAGATATAGAGGAAACTGCATCCAAAGAAGAAGTTAAGAGAATTGCCAAGAAACGTCCACATGGAGTCTCAAATGATGCTCCATGCCTGTTACTACTATTACATTCTGGAAGAGATAGAATAGAATCCCTTGGCAAAGCAACAAATCCATAACCATGCAAACTAAGAAGCTGGTGCACTCCTCCGATATTTGATATTGTCTTCAGATTAGGACCCTCCATGCTGCAAGATAGAAGACATCTTTTTTATGTGTTGCAAAATAAGAACATAGAAGCTTCTTATCAAAGGCAAGGGTACAATCGGAACTAGATTGAGACTACTTGAAGAATTGAACCAAAAGAACAAACAAATATTATGCCACACAGGCCCGGCTTGAACTTGGACATCTTTCTCCGTAATTCTTGCCTTACAAGAGCTGCACTAAACAAATGGAAAGGCTCCGCAGGAGAAGAAAGAAGGTCCGGGTCCAATTAGACCAAAAATACTTTCAAATAAAAACATGATATCTCTGTTTCATGAATATTATGTTGATAAGATAACAGTTAAGAAGTCACGCCATCAGCTCTATCAACCAAGAACTCAATACACTTCTCTACATTTGGACATAAACAATGAGACATTAGCAATCAACCATTGCTATTCCATCGCATACCCATTAAGACTAACACAATAGCTTAGAAACATGATATTATTAACCGTCAGTGTACTCACCACCCTTTAAATTTTTGACTCACCAATCAACAAGTATCACGCATAAAAAATGTCACATATTGTCCCAAATACATATGAATGTTGTCGAAAGTGCGATACAAAACCCTGAGAGCCTAAATGACTTGGTACGCGACTTTTGCAACTTGCATGAGCAAGGGAGGATGTCTCGATACAGTGTTAGCATTAGCAACTTCGTATGCGACTTGATGTCGCCTGGGTTGTCCGCGGCTTGCAGGGAAACTCTCGGTAAATGATGTGTGACTTGCTGCACGACTTGGCCGTGTCACTAGAAATACATAACATGCATGTTATTTGAATCCAAACCAGGCTCAGCCTGGGGATTGGATGCAGATGAAATGGTCCTTCAAGGACCAAAAGCCGACCAGAACCAGTCCTTCGGACTAAGACCGCTTCCTTTTTTAGCCTTAACAGGTTAAGGACCATCCAGGAAAAAAACCAGATCAAAGACTGAATTGAGCTCAGCCAATTCCCTTATGGCTAGTTTTTATAAACAGGTGACTAACTGTTGCTTCCGCAAAAGCAACACAAGGATATTTTTCCTTTGTTAAGAAAAGAAAAAAAAAATCAGGCCTGGATTGGTCCTTGTGCAACTATGTCACCTTGTGCATTGCATTTGATTAAAATGAAAGGCCGTGTGAGTTCCCGCACGAATTTAACTCTCATAAAGCCGCTTAACTCCCATATTATTGAACATCATTCTTGCATCTAGTAAGAACTTCTTGTAACCCTCTCATCTCCTCGTGAGCAATACACTATTACACCACTAGTGGAACCACGACAAATCTTATGTTGTAATTGCTTTTGGTTTGACTCAATATTTGTTCTGTTTGCCATTGCTTGATGACCTGAGTTTTGGGTGCTTTACGTTAAGCTATGGATCGCATTGTCTTGATCCCATTTTGTTTCCATATCGTTTGTTTGTTTGGTGATTTAATCCCATCTTTAACATTTGGGACACGAGAAGGTTTTACAATTTACAAGCGTCGATAACATTTGTTGTTAAACTACTTGAAAGTTGAAACTCACATTTGAAATCCCATCCCTTAAACTTTCAAATACGTTCATTATACACATCCAAATTCAATTGGGGTTAAAAAAAAATGAAGGATTACTTACAAGTGCATGGGGCTAAACTGAAGGAGTCGAGAATCCGGAGATGGAAGAGAGGCAAGGTGGTCAGGGGATATGAAAGCAGGCAGACCTTTGCGAGTTGTGAGGAGTAGAGCTGGTGTCTCTATCTCTATCTCTTTCGCCGGCGGTCCTCCTTGCCGACAGCTGCTACTACTACTATTCAATTGCAACAAACCTACCCTCGCACGCCCGTTCTTGCTCCATGCCTTCACCGAAAACTTCATCCTTCCACTCTCTCTCTCTTGCACTGCTCCGTCGTGGTTGCTTTGTGGCCGTTCCGCCGGTGACATCGATTTTGTAGTGTTTCGCCGCCGCTGCAAGTTTTTAGAATTTTGGCGGACGCTTTTGGGTTTCCAAATATCAAACCAGTTGAATATTCAATATGACGAAATTATGTTTCATTAAAGAAAACTGCATTTTTAGTCCATATAGTTTGTTGGAAGTTGCTATTTTAGTCCTTGTTCTTTTATAATTATGATTTTAGTACCTTTGATTTATAATTTGTTGTTTTTTCAGTTCTTTACAATTTATTGTTCATTTGTCTCTATTATTTACAGTTTATTGTTGTTTTATTTTTTCTAATTAATCTGGATATCCAACCCGCTATGCGATTCGATTTATCTCATTGCAACCACCTGCTTTGCAGATAGCCTCCCAGAGTCACCGTATTTGAATCTCTGTGGCCACAAAAGGATTTTTATTCTTCATTCTATTTGGGACCTCCTGGTACTTTTGATCTTTAGAGTCAAGCTCAAACCAATCAGGCACCACCCTTATGGTTAAGTTTATTGTTGTTTTAGTCCATCATACTTAACATAAACTATTGATAAAGAGGCATGATAATGGGCAGAGATGGGATTGATCATTAATCTCCCTCTTTATCCTTGTCCCAACAGGGAACGGGGATCTTCAATGGGAAATCAGATATTTTTTTTGTTTGTTTCTGTAAAATATTTAAAATCAAATTTGTTAAACACCAAACTCGATTCAAAATGGTCCATATTTAAATATCACATATTTCCAAAATTTTGCTTTTATAGAGCATCAAATATTCGTATGTTAATAAAATTACAACATTATACGTAATTGTTTGACCAAAGACTTTCGAATCTCCATGTTTTTATCTAAAAAAGGTAAAAAAACAAGTTAGAAAAGTGTATATAAGAAGAAAGATCAAAATATTCTTTCCAAATCTAAAAGATATTGAATATAATTCTTTATAAATAATATATAAGTTGAGAATCACATTACGGGTGTGTCTGGTATGCAGACAGGACAGAACAGGACAGTTGTTCAGCGTTTGGTTAGACATGACAGGACTGAACATAACTTGTTAAAATGACCAATTTATCCCCGGTGAGTTGTTTATAACAAAATATATCATTTGAAGTTTTCACCAAAACAATTAAAATGACACCAAATAAAAAAATTATGTGGTTTTCTATTTTTATTTTAAACTATTTTCTACATTATTTTTTATTATTAATATATAATAAATTACATAAATTAATAAAAATATAGAAACCGTATAAAAATACTATTTTGATGACAGTAAAATGAAAGTTTAAGAAACATAAAGACAATAAATAAAATTTAAAAAATGAATAAAATGTAAAAGAGAAACCTATTTGATATTTTAGAAGAGAATTAAGTTTTATTTTGAAGTTATATTAGTAAAATATAAGTCTGTTCCACCTTGTTCCACCATGTTCTATTGGGTAGGGGTGGAACAGGCCTGTTCCACTTAGTTCCACTATGTTTCTGTCTGTTCCACATAAAATTCATGCTAAACATGGGACAGGGATCCCTGTCCTGTTCTGTTCTGTCTCTGTCCAGTGTACCAAACGCACCCTACATGACCCCATCTCATGTCCCTGGTTTCTTAACTTTTCTGGATCCTCGTCGGTACAGATACATCAGTTTTCTCAATCCGTTGAATCTTATTCCCATGCCTATGAGAGTTAACTTTATGAACGAAAACAATATTTACAGATCAGATAATGGAGATTACTAATACCAAACATAAATTCAGTTATGTCTTGTCCAATCCAACCCTCTTGTCATGTCTAGTCTCATCCAGTTATGTCTTGTCTAGTCCAGTTCAATTATTCTTGCATACCAAACACTACACAATGGAGATTACTAACACCAAACATAAATCAAACCTGAAAAGTGGACATGAAATATGTTCAAAGATGGTCGCGAAGCCAACCATAAAATTTAACAGAAATTTCTGATTTTCTTTATCATAGCATCCACATATTTAATATTGACTATAAGGGTACTAACGCAATGTAACGAGATAAATTTCGATTTTAATGTTTAGTTTTTATTCTTTGTCTATATCGATATAATACGATTTCATTTGGTTTTGAGATGCAGTGTTTTTATTTTTAAATGAAATATAAATTTAAAGATAGCATAAAAATTTGAGAAAAATAAATCGATATTAGTATCAAATTAACTATTTAATAGTTCTTTTTTTATGTAACTTCTTTAATTTAATTTTTTTATTATAATTTAATTTAGATTTAATAATAAANTGGTTTAATAATATAACATTTTATAAAGATAATAATTTAGTATTCTGTTAGAACTCAATGATTATCCTATTTATATATTTTAGATTTTTTTATATTTAAAATGATATGTTTATCATGTATTTGATTATGTTTATCTGCAGTTAGTTACACGAATTCAGATATAGAGCTTTAATAAGTTGTATTTATGCACAATCTACCTGTAATTTTGAGTTTTAAGTAATATGAATTAATAAACAGTACTTTACGCATAAAAAGTGGCTTCTAAGAGTTTTCGTCAAATGTTTTATAATATAGTATAAATATAATTTTTATAAGGATAATAATTATGTATTATGTTAAAATTCAATGATTATCCTAATTATATTTTAGTTTTTTATATTTAAAATGAGATGTTTATCTTGTATTTGATTATGTTTATCTACAGTTAGTTGCATAAATTAAAAAATAAAACTTTAATAAGTTGTACTTATGTACAATTTTCTTGTAATATTGAATGTTAAGTAATATGCATCAATATACAGTACTTCATGCATAAAATATTGTTTTTAAGAGTTCTTGCCAAATGCTTTATAATATACTATATAGATAGTATTAAATTAACTGTTTAAAATTTCTTATTTTCTATGTAATTTCTTTAATTCAATTTTTCATTATAATTTAATTTATATTTAATAATAAAGTAATTTGTTTTTAGTTTAATAATGTAATTTTTTGTAAATATAATAATTAAACATTTTATTAGAACTCAGTGATTATCTTAATTATATTGTTGATTTTTTATATTTAAAATGGATGTTTATCTGCAGTTAGTTACACGAATTTAAAAGTAGAGCTTTAATAAGTTATATTTACACAAAGTTACTTGTAATCTTGAATTTAAAGTAATATGCATCAATAAACATTAATTCATGCATAAAAAATGGATTTTAAAAGTTTTTGTCAAATGCTTTATAATATAGTACAAAACTACAAATAGTTTTTTTTAATTAATCTGGATATCCAACCCACTATGCGAGCCGACTAATCCCGGGGCGACCACCTGCTTTGCAGATAACTCGGAGTCACCGCATTTGAACCTCCGTGGCCACAAGAGGATTTTTATTCCTCCTTGGATTTGAACCTACGACCTCCTGATACTTTTGATATTTAGAGTCAAGCTCAAACCAATCATGCGCCACCGTTGTGGTTATCGTACGAGTCAAATAAATATCCTTTTAAAAAAGACAAATATACCCTAACAATTTTTATTTATTAAAATGATTATTATAAGGATTTTAAAAATAAAGAGTAAAGTTCACTTTTGGTCCCTAACGATTGTTACAGTCAACAGTTTTCGTCCCTCAACTTTGTTTTAACATATTTTTGTCCCTCACATTTGATACCTCGCAACAATTTTCGTCCCTCCTCCTAACAACCGTTAACTTGTTTTGTTGAGTCCAATTTAGCGAGGGGTACGTATTATAGTCACTTTACATGTTTTCTTAATTTTCTAGTTTTTACATAAATTATTAAATCTTAGGGACTTGTTATGAAATTACCTCTAATGTATTGCGTGTATATATATATATATATATATGTGTGTGTGTGTGTGTGTGTGTGTGTGTGTGTAAACTTTAGAGCTGCCTCCATCTGGATATCTTGACACGACAAACACCGACAACAGTCTCCTCGCCGACCCAACCCCGACAATCATTGAAACTAAACGAACTTTGGCTCTATTCCTCTCTCTCATGAACTCCGAATCTATTCCCCTCCTAAACCTCTGGCACCACCCCTCCTCATCCATTCGTCCAATGTATTTGGCCCCTGTGTTCTTTTTGGCCGATGATTTGGTCCCTATGTGCTTTTTCGTCCTTGTGATTAGGTTTCAATTTGTTTGAAGATGTGAAGTTACAAGTTTAGGTTTGGTACCTGGAGTTGCATGTATGGTTTGGAGTTACGGCCAGTGATGGAGTCCCATGATAGGGGCACAGGGTAATATGTTTTTCTCCCGATGATGTGGTCCATCAGTCCATGTAGCTTCTCCCCTTGTGGTTACGTCCTCGACAATGGTTGTTGCCTATAATTCGGTCTTGGTGATTTGTTCCCTGACGATTTGGTCCCTATATGTGTGTAACATGTTAGAGATAATTACACAACATGTCTCTAAGGTTCGATAGTTTTTGTAAAAACAAGAAAATTAAGAAAATAGGTAAAATGACCAAAACATCCCTCATTAGATCGGACTTAACAGGAAAAAAGTTAACAGTTGTTAGGATGAGGGACAGAAATCGTTATGATGTGTCAAACGTAAAGGACAAATGTATTAAAATAAAGTTAAGGGACGGAAACCATTAAAAGCGACAAACGTTGGGGGACCAAAAGTTTAGAAGGATATATTCAATAAAGGGTTTAATAGGAATATTTGTTGAGAAGAAATGGAAGTCAAACCTAATCATGATTCAAAAGTCAAAGCACCCATGTATAATACACGTAGAGGGTATAACATTCGCATCAAATATTAGGAAAATACTTATTTTATTTATATTACAAGATAATACTATATTTTAATAAACATTTATTAAAATATAATTTGTAACTGATCGGTATGATTAAGGCCCTGTTTGTTTTTACCTAAAAAGCACTTAATACCCTCTTATGTCTGAATCGGTCAGACCTTAGGGTATTAAGTGTGTTTGTTTTTTTTTTAAATTAAGAGCTTAAAAGCTCTGATTATGTCTGAATTATTTAGAGGTAACATTTTCACTAATACCTCTTAATTGCTTTTAGAGCTTCTAATGCTTGCAAAGAAAGCCTAGATTTCAATGATTCAGATTTCATATTTCAGACGTAAAAACAAACAGTTTGACTGATTCAGATTTCAGACTTCAGCACCACCTCTTAAAATTCAGAAGTGAATTCAGACTTAAGCACCTCTTAAAAAACAAACGCTACCTAAGTGAAAAGACCAACCCGTTGTTATTTTGGTCTTAATTTTCGGATTCACTTGATACAGGACTAAATCTTTCAGAGAATCGAAGACAAACCAAAATGAACATAGAAGAACGTCGAAGTTGTTCAACGAGTTACTGTTTCGATTGAAGATCAGAGAGCAAATCTCCAGTGGCCTTATTTGAAAGACTTATCGATCAAGTATCCATTTATCAACTTTCACCAGTTATTATCCTTTATCTATACTATATTATAAAGCATTTGACAAAAACTCTTAAAAACAGTTTTGTATGCATAAAGTACTGTTTACTAATGCATATTACTTAAAATTCAAGATTACAAGTGGAATGTGCATGATTACATCTTATTAAAACTTTATGTTTGAATTCGTGTAACTAACTACAGATAAACACAATCAAATACATGATAAACATTATTTTAAATATAAAAAATCTAAAATATAATTAAGATACTTATTGAGTTATAACAAAATACTTAATTATTATTTTAAAAGATTGTTTTATTAAATCATAAAAAAATTAGTTTATTATTAAACTTCAATTGAATTACAAAAAAAAATTGAATTATAGAAATTGCATACAAACGAAAACTTTTAAATAGTTAATTTGATACTAATATTGATTATTTTTTTCAAAATTTTATAATATCTTCAAATTTATATTTCATTAAAAAATAAAAACATTTTTTTTTTCAAAAAAAAAAAACACATAAGATCGCATTATATCTTATCCGGTTAGAGCAGTAAAAGGATGAAGAGTCTTACCCAGTAAGAGTGGTGAAAGGATGGAGAGTCTTACCTAGTAAGTGAGAGTGACGACTCTTACTCGGGTAAATGCTTACCGGATAATTATTGCATACTATATCGTTTTGATGCAATATAATCTTACCCATAATAATAAATTATAGTGTTCATTCCTACCAGTAAGTACTTATTGTATTCAATTCCGCCTTGTATAAACAATTTATATAGTCCATGTAAAACGTCTTCTAGATATCATCCAAACAGATCTTAGGCTCATTAGTTACTAAACAGGACTATACGTGGCAAAGTGGGACCGTTCTGATAACAAATCAAGACGGGTTCATGTTCCACTTAATAGTTTTTGTACAATTTGAAATGGGTCGGGTCGGATTGACCCGTAAACGCTTTTATTGTTACGTTTTTGAAATTTATAAATGATTAAGGCATTATGCACAAGTAAAAAAAAATGCATTACTAAAATAATAATGTGTATCCTTAGACGAACGTTAGCCTATTCAACGCCATATGACCCGTTTGTTCTTCTAGGTTAACGATTAAGACAACCCATTTGACTCGTAAGAAAGAAAACACAGACGACGCCGACTTATCTTTATGAACACTTCTTATTGAAAGTAGAGATGCGGAAAAAGCGACTTAAGGAGTTTACTAGTCACGAAATTGTTAACGTAGAACATGATTTTAACATAATTAACAACATTCTCGATATTTAGAATTAAACAATATTGATTAGAGGTGTTTAAAAATACCGAAAAACCGAGCTACCAAGCTGAACCGTTTAAACCAACAATCGAAAATATCCGAACACCAAAAAAATGGATGTTCATGAGTCGGTTTCGGTTTTGAACTCTAGGTATCCGCGAATATCCGAACTGAATTGAATATAATCTATATATTATATAACAGTGAACCGAACAGCGGGTAACCGCCTAATTTCAGCTCGGCTCGATGCGGTTCAGCTCAATCTACGATTCGATTTCGATTCGGATAACTAAGTATCCACCTTTTACGGTTCGATTCATATTTTTTTTTACCAACCGAACCGTAAACACCCCTAAACAAGTATGAAGTCATATCTATCAAAAACAATTGTTGATTTGTGAGGGAAACCTTAAGTATATAATATGAAGATTAAACTTTACTCAAAAGGTACCCACCAACCACATGATCTCAAATTCTTCAACCCTATCATATACCTAACTATGCACCTTCTTTTAAACTAACTAAAATAAAATTGAATTAAATATTTCATATAAAAATAAATTTTTATAATAAAGTCAAAAAATAAATACATTTGATTTTTAAATAGTGTAATTGTTAAAAAAATATAAATTGAATGAAAAAGTAACGTACTTTAACTTGATTCTTATTTTTAATAAAGTACTTTTAAAATTTTCATTTTGTTATCTAAGATGTAAAATTTTAAATATTTAAGTACTCGGGTAACCGGTTGAAGCATTAACCAGTACCCATGTTGATGTTGCGAGTGATGTGGTATCCAACTCAATATTATTTATGAAGCATTAACTGGATACCACATCACTCGTCACATCAACATGGTAATCGGGTACCTGGGTAATTAAATATTTAAAACTTTACATCTCAGGTACCAAAATGGAGGTTTTGAAAATACGTTACCTAAAATAGGAATCAAGTTAAAGTACGATTACTTTTTCATGCAGTTTGTTTGTGAAAAAATACAAAAGTTTGTAATTTATTGTATTCTCAACTAGCAAACCAGTTACTCATTATAAAATAGCAATTACGTTTTGTTATGGTTTTGTTCAGATGATGAATGGGTATTATTGGAATCGTCCGATTGAGTAATGGGTCGAGTCCAAATTTTTGATATTTCAGAAAAAGCAGTCGAAAAAATGAGTCATGTATGTAACTCTTGTGAATTTAATTTTAGTTAATTGGTTTTATAAGGTATATGTTACAAGTAACACTTTAGTAGTTGGTATTTAAAGATCCAAAAATTCAAATTTCATAACAATAAATTATGATAAGTGTTCCATAAATCATGCAATTTGGTGGAATAGTGGTTTGCTTTTAACCCAATAATTTGTTGGGACATTTGCAACACACTTTCTATTTATGGAAAACAACCAATATATATATATATATATATATATAGAGGGTGGTTCAAATACTAACCCAATATTTTGTGCAAACTTTGCTAACCCACATCAACCAATAATGTTGCATCTTTGGGTTTGGTTAATTAAAATGTAACTTACATATTAATGATAAGGGTATTTAGGTCATTAGTCATTCTTATGTAACTCCCAAA